CTAAAGAATTCTTTTACAAATTTAAGATTATAAATGTAATACTTTATATCAGTTTTTTATTTTTTTTAATTTGCAACTTTTTCCAAGATATATCATATTACTATTGTAATTTATTTTTTTGTTTATAACTTTTTTTCAAGATATATTTTATTATTGTAATTTTGTTATTATGAAAAATAATATTTTTTTAATTTATTTTTTTCACGTATCTCCTAATATTTTTCATGTTTTGTACAACAATTTAGTCAAAATTATAAAAGTGAAAGTATGTTAATATTTTTTTATTATTTAATTCATCATTCAGTCATATATATATATATATATATATATATATTGAGAAAGGCTTAATATATTTTTAATATAATATTACATATGTATAAATATTACTATAGACAAAAATGATCCAAAAAGAAGACATATCGTTTTCTTCTTACTATTTTCAGAATTTTTTTTTAATGACAAGTTAATAGATATGAATTTTATATATGTTATAAATTTTAAAGATTTGAATATAATTAAAAAAATTAATATATATATATATACTCGTATTATAAAGTAAAATTATTTCATGCATTACATTGGTTATAATCTACTATAGAAATAGATTAGTTCTTTTTCTTTTGAAGTTGGGTATTGTTACGAATTTTTCTTTTTGTATTAGATTAATTTTATTTAAGTAGTGTTATTTTTAACTAACTTATAACAATTAAGAATGCACTCCATTATTTAATGGCTTATTTGAGTGGTATTATTTAATAACTCCATTATTTAACTTATAACAATTTTTTCTAAAGTTAGAATTCTTAGCTTAGTAATTTAGTTGGTTCATATAATTATATTTAATAGTTGATAGTTAATATGTCAATGTTTCAAGTATCAATACTTGTAATATCTTATTTTATTGACTTTGTAAAAAAAAAAAAAACATGAAAGTTCGTAAATTACTTTAAATATAAAATAAGAGTTTTTATAATTATAATTATAATTATTATGTTATTTAGTAAATTATGCAAAATTGAAAAAAATTCACAACTATGGTAAATGCAACAAGCATAATTATATCTGTTATATCCATAATTACGACTAATGTGACGTGATTGAAAACACATTTATAATCGTAATTTAAATCACTAGTTGTGTCTATTATCATTTTTTTATTCATAAAAGTAAATATCTTTGGAAAATCAATTTCATATCTACAATATATTTTTAATTGATGATTATAATAGATAAAAAATTTATTATTATGTTCTGCCGTATACATATTTTCATTTTTAAAAATTACCATAATACTGTGTCCGTATCATATCATACCAATATCATATATTTGAGTCCTTACTTCATAGTTCGTGCTTTCCTAATTTTTAAATTAGCCTTTGGTCTCCCCCCTGAAAAAAAGAGCTTTGTCGGTTAACCTTTTTTCATTTTTTAAAAATTTTATTTATTATAATATAAAACTAAAAATAATACAAATAAAATATTATGAAAATAATAAAAAGTTTTAAAAAATTTAAATATAATATTTAATATGTTATGATTATTGTTTTTGTTATTGACTTTTAGTATTATATTAAGAGCATTATATATATTTTTAAATTATTTGATTAATTACATCATCTTTCCAATTTATTATATATTATAAATTTTTGGTAAGAACAAAGAAAAATATGAATAGTATAAAAATTATAATTTTTAATGAAACAATTTATATTTTCATTTTTTATGTATTTTTATAGTTCTATTTATTATTACTATTACACATTTTTAAGATTTTAATCTTTTATTTTTTTTTATAAATATTACATAAAATTTTTTATGATTTGAACTTTTCTTTTCTTGACAATTAATTAGGAATTATCCTTACTTGATGGTAATTTTTTATTATTATTATTATTATGATTAATTTATTGGTATTAATTATTGATATATATATATATATATATTTTAGTTCTATAATTTTTTTTCATGATTGGTAATTAAAGGAAAGATTATAACAGAGAAAATGAAAAAATCTCAATTATTTTTTAGTTCTATCTTCCTCTTTTCCTTTATATTCTTTCAATCTTTTACATTTTTTGAAATCTTAATATTTTTAGAAAATATCCATAGAAATTTATTTAAACTTTCAATTAAGAAAATCAATTTTAATAGAATTTGAAGATTATTATGCCAAGTAAGCTTTTTTCTCATTTTTTTAAAAAATATCTTTAAGTATAAAGTAAAAAACAATTATAAAATTTTATAAAAAATTTCAATTTAATTTTTTTACATTTTTATTTTTTTATTGTATTTTTACATTTCTTTGTTTATTATCAGTATATTTTTTGTTAGGTTTTGATTTTTATTTAATAATTAAAAAATAAATTAAAACCTTAATACTTTAGAGTAGATTGTGTTGGATTCGAATCCCTTGTCTTTGAGTTTATTTTTAAACTTTAAGCCAAATTATTTTTTGATTGCCCAAATAACTTATTTTTTTTCTTTTCTTTTGTAGAATAAACCATACCTTTTAAAATCAATACCCTAAGCTTTTCTTTTTCTCTTCTTTCTCTCACTCTTTTCCAGTGGCGCCTTTTTTTTCTTTCATTTTTCTTCATTCTCCAGTCAAAAAATTTTTTTGGCTGAAAAACTTGTCCCCAACTCTTTTTTCTCTTCTCTTTCTGTTTCTAATCATAGGTTTTACTAAATCTTGTCTTAGAGCAGTAGATCTGAGCCTAAAGGTCGTGGTTTTCCAACCCTTTAAACACCTTTTTTCATTGCTCCACATGCCACCAATTTTAACTATGGTTTTTATCTGACCCTGAACTTCCTACTCTCTAAAGATCAAGCCCCAAAACTACCTCAAACTGAAAACTTTTTTTTTTTTGGGTATTTTTCTGTTGCTGCTTCTCCCCTTCTCAGGGGATGTGATTTTTTCTTTCTTTTTCTTTCTTTTTGGCGTGATTTTATGGTTTATGTGTATCTAGGTGGTATGTTAAGGAGGATTTGGGTCTTGGTGGATGAATGGGTTTTTTATTTTATTTTTAGGTTATTTTTCTATTATATTTGAGTTTGATATATGTTTTTGATTTTGATTTAGTTGATGCTGAGTTTCAAAATTTTAAAAATTTTGGTTTATTTTTTTATTATACTTAAGTTTGATTTATGTTTTCGATTTTGGGTTATTTGATATTGAGTTTGAGAATGTTAGGGAATTTTTATTGAAATTAAATTTTTTTTTTGTTTCATCGTTGACACTTCCATAAATGATGGAGCTTGGCTTTGGCATCACTACCGTTATGGTTCCTTTTATCCTTGTCCAATATTTTGTTGCAAAATACCCTTAATACCTTTAATAATTATAATGATATCGATAACACCTCAAATGAACAATAAAATTATTGACACGGCAGAAAAATTGAGAATTGATCTACAGAAAACTACTTTACTATTTAGGTATAGATATGCAGGTAATAATCTCGCGGACTCATAGAGTGGTACTGAATAGATGGATAGAGAGAATCTGAGCAGATAACCAGGAAGTCCCTGCCCTTTGTACGTAGTTTATACAGCATCATCATGCGGAGTATTTTCACTACTTTTTGAATCGCCTGAAAGCCTAGTAATGCTCATGACTAAACTTCTAAATAGTATCAGCTGTACAACTGGTTAATTTGCAATTTGGTTTTACATTGTTGCATTTGATTTGAAGCTCACTCGTTGCACAGAGTAAATTTGGTTTGAAATTATATACAAGTATTAAGTGGCGTTGGCGATATATATATATATATACACTTGAGAGAAAGAGTATTTGAGTTCAAAATGACACATGCACGTAATTTTAAAGGTCAATTCTTGACAACAACATCAAAAGTGTTGGTAGTTTAGATGAATAAAATTAATTTTTGTATTAATTTTATTTATTTTTAAAATAATTATATTTAAATAAAAATAATTATCATATGATAAATAATTATAATTATTTAAATATAAATAGATTAATATTTATAAAAATCGTAATTATACAAAAAATTATAATTATTTTAATAAAAAATTATATTTATTCTTTTATTACAAATAAATATTTTAATATAACTATTTTTATTATTTCACCTTTGAAAATTTTAAGGCATTATTTTATTTTGAAAACATAATTATTTTTACGAAAATATTCTTCACATCTCAAATTTTAAATTCTTTTTCATTATTTATATTCTCTTATTTTTTTAACAAAAAGAAAGAGCGGACTTAGCAGAATCCATGCTGAAAAAGATTGTAGTGGAAACTGATTCTGAGCAACTGTAAAAAACATCTGAAGCGGAAGAAAGGTAATTTGAGAATTCATCCTTTTGAAGGAGATTATCCTGTCTAGGTCAAGTAACAAAAGGTTTCTGGTTACAAATGGATAAGTAGAAAAGCCATTCAAGCTGCAGATTGGGTGACAGCACAATTCAAGCACTGTGTAAATCGACCGGAGCCATATTCTTTGGTATTCACGTTGGACAAAGATGGTCTCCCTTCACCTCCATAAGCCTAAGTCCTAGTTGTCTAGGCTCTTAGAGAAGCTAGTTTTGCTAGTTTTCTCGTTTCTGAACCTAGATTTGCAAGTCTGGCTATTAATAGTGCGAGTCTCTGAATGCAAGTTGTACAAGTGTTGTTTCAGTGAAATGGAAGCATTACTTTTCTGCCCAAAAAAAAAAAAAAGGAGAGCTCTTATCCTATCTTGGAGAAGCAGGTAACGGAGATTTGTATATATATAATTTGATAATTTGAATAGAAAATATAAAAATAGAATAATTTAAAATTTAAAAAAAAATTATAAATAAATTTAATAAAATTAAAAAATTTTATTTTATATTTTCGAATTATAATATATATATAAATTTTGTATAAAATATAATATAAATATAATATTTTACATAATACAATGATATAAATTATAAGATCATCAAAATGATTAATCATTCAATTTGCACAGAAGTTCCCTTCTCCATGAATTTATGAAATCGTACAATATATACAAACCTAATTCCTAAGGCCTGTGATAAAATTAATTAATCTATTGTGAGGCTCAAGAGAGGAACTGACTCAAAATCAATCCGTTAAATAAAGACTAGCGGGTCTGATTTCCGAATCACTCTTCTAAACCCACGTTGCTAGCATAAAAGCAAACCATGATAAATCTATGCCCACTCTAAAACTAAAGCCACATATCCTGTATTGGGGATTCGGCTATAGTCTATAAATACTCCTAAACTTAAAGTAGCCGTCAGTATATTTATAGAATTTCAAAAGTTATTGATACAGTATTCGCGATTGTTTCTATTTCCATTCTGTACGATTTCTCTCTAGATTTATATCCACCTTAAAATAACTGTCGTTTATGACATTAACTAGCTTTATCACTATGATGGCAGGAATCTGATATACAAAGTGCATTTATTTATAGTATCATGCGCGTTCCTCAATTCCATTTGCAGACGAACAAGATCTTTCCATATTCCATGCTATTTAAAAATCATGATATGTTATCCTACCAGTAGCCATTCCCACTCTTCATTTATACCTCACGGCCTTACCCACCCCTGTAAAACACTAGTAGTTGGACACGTAAAACAATACAACATAATTGGGGCATATACAACACTTCGAAGGAAAAACTTAAAAATAAAAGCTGAAAACACCCATGATTGACACCAGAGTATAGAACAATGCTTCAACACGATATACCCCGATGTAATGGCGTCCTTGAGACAGCATTTTTTACGCATCAAATACAATCAAATAACTGCATATCATTGTCAGAAAGAAAACACTAGTCACTCTATGAAGCATCGAGATCGAAAGCAGGAAAAGTACCGTATAAATCCTTCAACTGCCCCAAGACCATTACCACCAACTAACACTTTCAACAAAAACTATGTTATTATCCGTGGACAACAATCAACATCACGTCATGCAGAAAAGTATACGTTTTGTATTTGCTGCTTAGCCCAGAGAAATGTGCAAATTGTTCTATGGCACACAGACAACCAAGAGTAACAAACAAGCCTGGCAAGTCACATAATTCCTCATAAATCATAACTTATCATAGTGACTAAATCAAAAACCAGCCCATCCAGCAGGTTGAGAAGTCGGATGATTCTCCCTGATTGTTGACTCACCGAAGCGCTGAGAGCTATTTCCTTCACTTATAGGTGGTTTCAATCTCTCGAAGCTGGCAGCAGGGGCGGCCGTAAAGCTATCTGTACCAAAACTCCATGTGTCCAAAGCAGAAGATGCGTGAGCAGCATGCTTATTTAAGTGACCATTTCTGGTTCTAACTGACTGGACATTATCCTTTGAAAGAGGCTGGTGCTGTGGTTTGGCATCCTCAGAAAAACCCTGCCATGGCTTTGCTTCTGGGCTAGCAGTTGTCCAGTCAGCAGATTTTTCTTGCGAGAATTCCCACAATGTTCCTTCAATCTTCTCCCTCTGCTACAAAACGAATAGGTGCAATCAAGAGAATAACTAACGGGTACAAATTCAATTGAAAAAGTTCAACTATGTGAAAACAAAATGAAGAAAAGAGTACCAGACTTCCAGGTAAGTTTTGATTTCTTAAAGTACTTTTATTTGGAGATGGAGCTCTAGCAGCAAGGGCTTGCTTGAGCTCCTGTATTTCCTGCCTCTGGGATCGACAAATTGCACATAACTTTTCAAGTTTGGAAGCCATCCCAGCCTTCCCCAAGTTGGATTGCTTTAGCTGTTCTTTCAGCCTCTCTATTTCAGCCTCTAATGCTTCTTCTTTTCCAGTTTTTTTATCACTAATTCCAGAACTGATCTTATTGGTATCAAATTCAGCAATAAAGGAATTAAATGCCTCGTCTTGAAAAGTAGTGGTGGTATCCTTATCCTCGAAAAATTTTATTTCAAAATCTTTTGAAGGGCCATCTTCAGGTTTGTGTGATATATCAGGCATATTTCTTGGTGTAGAATGAGTTTGTACATTTTCCCCGTAAGGTAAAGGGTCATTCTCAGGATGACTCCTGTCATTTTTTATTGAGCTATAGCTGGTTGGATCTTCATCAAATTTGGGTCTGCTCTTCTCTTCAGCCACAATTGAGTCCTTTGCATGCTGAGTTGACCAGAAAACACCAAGCTGTCTGCCACTTGCCCTTGAACCAGGCTGTAATAAATTTCTAGCTGATTCCCCAGGTGGTGGGGGTGGACTTCTACGAGGCATCTGAGGTGACCTATTTGCAGGCCTTGGAAAACCTGCTAAATTGGCACAAAGCATCAACTCAAGTTCAAAGAAAACTAATGTCTAAACCTACAATATTCAAACATTTTCTATTTATAATCTTCTACAACTCATCACACAAGACCAGCGTCCACCATAGCAAGACACGGTTAAAATTAAGACAGGTATTAGACCTTCAAGCGGACAACTAAACTGGTAATTGATGTGTGTGTATGTGTGTGTGTGTGTATATTATATCTTCACCTTCAATAGATGACATTTCAGGTGGCCGATCAGGTAAGGACTTCCGTAGAGTGGCAGGCAACTGCTCATTAACACGAAACCAGACCTGCCATCATGGGAAGAAAATCCCAAGATCAGTGAGCAGAATGTTAGATCTCTGCCAAAGATTAACAGGGACATTGATGATCTAAAACTAACCTAAATTCATGGGATGAAGGGCCAATCAAGCAAAGCGCTTGCCTGCGTGATGTCAGGTCTGTCAACAGGTGAAGCATGAAGCAAGTCTTTGATTAGGTCTTTAACTGAAGAGCTGTACTTAGGTAAGTCTGGAATCCGATAGTTCCCATTTAAGATTTGTAGCTTTGATTCCCCATCAAATGCATTCTTGAAGTAGCAAATTCGAAAGAGAAGACACCCGAGGGCCTGCAACATGATATAGCAGCTTCAGTTTATACTTAGTGTATCTAATCCAATTCGTCTCTAGATTTCACATGGAAATAACAGGTGCAGTTGACTCACCCATATGTCCACCTTTTCATTAATAAGATCTCTCCGGAACAGATCCCACATCTATGCCAATAGAAGAATGAAGACATAAATCAAACAGTTTAACCACCACAGGACATAAAAGTTTTCTAAAAAAGAAATTAGTTTTTCATTCAACCTCAGGGGCTCTATAGGCGGGTGTGGTGTGCTTCCTGATATTGTCTTCTTCTATACCCATCTCTTCAGGCTTCTCAAAATGCTTGTGATTGGTAGATGTGCTCCCAAAATCACACAACTTCCACGATCCATCAGAACCCAGCAAAAGGTTCTCAGCTTTCAGGTCTCTGCAAAAATCAAAATGTCAGGAAGTAAAAAAACGTACACCAGCAATAAACAACTTCTACCAAAATCACAAAACATAAACCAGTGATATGTAAGGAAAACAAGAAAATAAGCAGGATTTCAATTTTGGGCATTATAATTTATTAAAAGAAATTATGGCGTTTTATTTGAATTGATCATACCCCCATTTCTCTTATTCACAATTCAAAGAAAAAAAAAAGAATGGCATGTAGCAGAACTGCATAAAAGAAATATAAAACAATAAGAAGCTACAAAAAATTTCAGCAATAAAAAAGTGGGGAATCTGAAAACTTGACAAGCGTCAGAACCAAATACCTGTGAGCAATTGGCGGGGATTGGCAATGCATTGCGAAGACTGCATTGCACACATCCCTAAAAATCGTAAGAACCTGTTTCTCTTCAAAATAGGCAGCTCCTCTGGCCTCTAAGACGTTAACAAGAGATTTGTCACAAAATTCCATGACAAGGAGGGCTTCCTTGGTCCTACCCAAGTCCAAGATAGTATGTGCATAAAGTGTGACGACATTTGGATGTCCTTGAAGTGATTTCATGACAGATATCTCCTTGACAACCAAATCCAATGACTCCTGATCATTGCATATGATGTGCTTCAAGGCATAATGTTTTGAAGCATGTAGAGCATCCTTAGCTAAGTAGACACAAGAGAAGCCACCCTCAGCAATGGCATTGCGAACATGAAGTTTAAGATTGGCAACATCAAGGGATCTGCCCTCGAGCCCTGCTGGTTCTTTTTGCAAAAATGGCTTGAACCTCCACATAGTTGGTAGAATGAAGGTAGAAAAGATTCTGCGCGGATGATGAAAAGCATTAAGAAAAAGAAAGAGAAGAAAGGAGGTAGTTGATTGAAATAAAAGAGAAATATGAGAAATCCCAATTGCTGATACAAAGGGCATTTAAGACGGTAGCAGGAGAAAACGTGTAGCATAAAAAATTGGGAAATGACTATAATGAATAGGAGGATGATGATGATGGAGGTGGAGTTTAAGGAGAAGAAGAAAGAATATGGACATTACATAACCTACGAAACCTATGATTTATGAATGCACGCAGAAACAGAAGCAATCAGCATTAGCTTACAACAACAGCAGATCTAAATAGACTTCATTACCGGGGTACCACAAAACAAGCAAATTAAAATCAAGATCTAAATTTCATCTAAAACCGAATATCTTGGGTTTTCTTTATTATTATTATTATTACTTACTTACTTACTAGTATCTTTAATTGTGTCTGCAGCGATAGAGACACGGCAGCTACGAATATAAATCAAAATAATGAATCCAAAAGAAAAAACAAGAATTATCAAATCGATCTTAAGAAGAAGAAGAAGAAGAAGAAATCGGGAATGTACCTGGTTAGATCAAGCTGAATGGAGCAGGCTAATCAGAAATAAAGGTACTCCAGGACTTGATAGAAATAGATGATTGAGATTTGAGAATTGAACAAAGAGATAAGCAGAGAAGCGAAGGTGAGGTTTTGCTTTTGCTTTTGCTTAAAGATCTGATTTGGAGACCTTTTATCTATTGAACAAAGAGATAAGCAGAGCAGCGAAGGTGAGGTTTTGCTTTTGCTTAAAGATCTGATTTGGAGACGTTTGGCCCATGCGCGTTGCCCTTTTTTTTTTTTTTTTTTTAATTATTGTTATTCATAAATATGAACATCTTTAATAAATGGCTTTTAGATTTTACAAGTAATAGTAATGGGGTGATACATAATTTATATTTAAAAATTAAAAAAATCTATTTTTTTAACTTTGTTTGTAAAATTTAAAAATTACACTAATAATATATTAAATATTAATTTATGAATAAATTTCTTCTAATAATTATTACTAAACACACTACTAGTTAGTTATTATTAATTTTTTATTTTCATATTATAGTTTTTTCTATAAGAAAAATATTATTATATTATTATATATATATTTTTTGCTCTAAGGATATAGCCCTTACAAGAGAGAAAGGAAAAGAGATTTTGACTGGAAATAAAGATTTTTATGTTCTTTAGTCACTAAACCAAAAGGTAGAGAGCATTTGCTTTTTTCTTTGAGTTAACATTTTATATGCTTTTAGATATTATAAGAGAAGCGTAAATGCCTTCATTAATCATTAGGAGATAACAAAATTTTAATTTACAAAGTAGAAATAAATACTAGTAAAAGTTAGTAATTGAAAAATGAGAAATCATTAGTACAATGATAAGGAAAATTTTAAACTCCAAAAGCAGTGTTAACGTAATAATACATACTTCTTGGAATATATTTAAAAAATTAATTAAAAAATAAAATATGCATTAATTTTTTAACTTCTTTTTTAAAATTAAAAACTCTACTATATCAAATAAATTTTCTTGAATAATATGTATTTAAATTCCTTTTTTAAAACTTTTAAAAGTTAATATTAGGTTAAATAAAAGTAATATATAAAAATAAAAATATTGTTTATTTTCATCCTTATTATTGCATTCCACTTTAAATTAAAAAATAGATATAAGTTTTTATATATCTTAAAGTTTTTATTTTGCTAAAATTCAAACTTATGCTTTGAAATTGATTTTTTTTTTAATTTTAATTGCTAAACTATTGTTTTTATTATTTAAAAAGAAAAACGTATTATTACATATATATTTTTTTGAAATAACTATTAGCATATGACATCTTCTTAAAAAAAAACTATTATTATGTATCTAGATGTGTCAAATGGGTTAGACAACCTATGACACGACATGATTCAACACAGTATGCATCATGTTTAGTAAGTTTTGCTGTTACATAAGCAGGTTGAGACAATTATAATATATATATATGTGTGCGCATGCGCGTGTGTCACGGACCTAAGGGAGAGTCTTAAATCCCACATCGAACATAATAAGAGGGTCACTGAGGTATAAAAGGGTTCACACCATCTCCACCTTGTGAGGCACCTTTTGTAGGACAAAACCGTGAAGCCATGGGGGGTCAGAGCGGACAATACCTCACAAGGGTGTGAACCGTGACAGGAAGGTTGATCTGAGACGCCGGAAGGGTGAATGCCCGGATCCCGGAGCCGTGCGAGTTTGGAGCTTAAGTCTCGACCCGTGACAAGTGGTATCAGAGCAAGTTTGATTCTGCGTGTTTGTGTTGTGCAGGTTATATCGTGATTGAGGAGATGACATCTCAAAGCGACGTTGCTAGCCAACAACTAGAGGCCTAGGAGCATGGGCACGGAAGAGGCAAGAAAGCTAATTCTAGAGATATCTGGTCTACCATGGACGGTAGGTTGGCCAAGGTAGAGGTGACCATAGGCGACATGAGGGAAAAGCTTGAGGAAGTAGAGACTCACATTGCACCGCTAGACTCTATGGGGGAGGAGATCCAAAGTGAGCTGGAAGCTGCTCTCAACAAAAGCCTGGATGCGTTCACCAAAAAGAATCAAACCTTGGAGGCTGAAGTGCGGACCTTGCGCGATGGCATGGAGGCCATGCGCCAGCGGATGGAAGAGCTTGCCAGTGAGCTCATTGCTTGCAAGACTGTCATTGGGAATGGCATGTTTGTCGGAGTGTCCAAATCCAGATTAGATGTCCCTAAGCCTAAGGAGTTCAAGGGGACTAGGGCGTATGGAGCAGTACTTCCAGGCCATGGGCATGCAAGATGAGGCGATAAAGGTAAGCACCGCTGCTATGTATCTCACTGATGTAGCCTTATTGTGGTGGAGGCTCAAGTGTGATGATGTCAGGCGTGGAAGCGCCAAGATTGGAACCTGGACAGAGTTCCAAAAAGAGTTCAGAGAGTAATTTTACTCGGAGTATGCCGATGATAAGGCACGGGTAAAGTTACGTCGGCTTAGCCAGCAAAGGGACATAAGGGAGTATGTCCAAAAATTCTCTGAACTGATGCTACAGATCTCGGAGCTAGGCGAGAAGGGCGCCTTATTTGCTTTCATGGATGGGCTGAAGTCGTGGGTGAAGCATGAGCTACAAAGGAGAAGAGTTCATGACTTGGCTAAAGCCATAACTACTACCGAGGCCTTGATAGAGTTCAAGCCTCTGAACAAGTTCGAGTCTTCCAAGCCCAAGGGTAAGGGCAGGGACGATAGGGACCGAAAGAAGCAGTCCAAGGGGAAAGACCGTGATCGGAAGTCCAAGGATGGAGACCGAGACCATTCAACCAAGGATGGCGAGAGGAAGCCACCAGTAGGCAAGTGGAAAGCAAAGGGGGACCAAGAGCCACTAGCATGCTACTTATGTGGAGGGAGCCACATAGCGCGTAATTGCCCGCAGAAGGGCAAGCTGGCTACTGTAGACAAGGAGTTTGACAAGGAGCCAGAGTCAGGGGCAGCAAAGCTTAGGTCGTTGGTGCTCAATGCTGTCCAGAGTAAGGGGAGCCGCAAGCCAAAGGGCTTGATGTTTGCGGATCTGATGGTTGCGGGTCAGAATGTGAGCGCACTGGTGGACACAGGTGCCTCACATCATTTTATTTCAGGTGATGGAGCCTGAAAGCTCGGACTGAAGGTGCAGAAAGGGACTGGTACCATTAAAACGGTGAACTTCAAGGAGGTTCCAGCCATTAAAGTAGCGCGGGAATGGAGTTACAGCTTGGAGACTGAAAAGGCAAAGAGACCATTGAGGTAATACCCCTTGACGACTATGAGTTTGTGATTGGGTTGGATTTCCTTGTTCGGATTAACGCCCTCCTTGTGCCTTTTACCGATTGTGTTTGCATCTTGGATGCACGGTGCCAATGCCTAGTGCCATTGAGGAGAGGGTCTGGAGTTGGGTCACGGGTGGTGTCAGCCATCCAATTTGCCAATGCGGTAAGCAAACAAGAAGACACCTTCTTGGCAGCCCTGAAATATGATGAGCCAATGGAGAAAAAGATCGAGTCACCCTTGAAGGTGCTAAAGGTGCTGAAGACCTTTAGTGATGTGATGCCCGTAAAGCTACCTAGCAAGCTACCACCTAAGAGGGAGGTAGACCACAAGATTGAACTGGTGTCCGAGGCCAAGCCACAAGCTAGAGCCCCTTACCGAATGTCTCCACCAGAGTTGGAGGAGTTGAGGAAGCAACTAAAGGAGTTAGTTGATGCTGGCTTCATTAGGCCATCGAAGGCACCCTATGGTGCACCGGTTCTATTCCAACGCAAGCATGATGGGTCTTGCGACTGTGCATAGACTACCGGGCTTTGAACAAACTGACCATCAAGAACAAGTACCCCATTCCACTCATTGCGGACTTGTTTGATCAACTTGGAAGCACAAGGTGGTTCACCAAGTTAGATTTGAGGTCGAGCTACTATCAAGTCAGGATCGCGGAGAGAGATGAGCCAAAGACAGCATGTGTCACTCGGTATGGTTCGTATGAGTTCTTGGTGATGCCTTTCAGACTCACGAATGCCCCAACAACATTCTACACCCTTATGAACAAGGTACTTCAGTCATTCCTTGATCGATTTATTATGGTTTATTTGGATGACATTGTGATCTACAGCCAGACTTTGGGAAAGCATGTAGACCACTTGAGACAAGTGTTCGAGGTGTTACGGGCGCACAAGCTATTTGTCAAGAGGTAAAAGTGCTCATTCGCCTAACAGGAGATCCTGTTCCTTGGCCACATAGTGGGAGGTGGCAGGATACGCATTGATGAAGGCAAGATACACGCCATCCTGGAGTGGCAACCGTCAGCCAAGGTCACTGAGTTGAGATCGTTCCTTGGGCTGGTTAACTACTACAGGTGCTTCATCAAAGGTCATTCAGCAATAACCACGTTATTGACTGACTTACTCAAGAAAGGGAGAGCATGGGAGTGGAGCGCAGGATGCTAGGAAGCCTTTGACAGGTTGAAGCGGGCTGTGACTGAGGAGCCAATCTTGGCCTTACCAGACCATGCCAAGCCGTATGAGGTGCATACAGATGCATCAGACTTTGCCATAGGGGGCGTGTTGATGCAGGAGGGACGTCCAATCACGTTCGAGAGTAGAAAGCTAAACGAGACTGAACATAAGTACACAGTCCAAGAGAAGGAGATGACTGCAGTGGTGCACTACTTGCGCACTTAGTGCCATTACTTGTTGGGGTCAAAGTTCATAGTAAGGACGGACAATGTGGTGACCAGCTACTTTCAGACGCAGAAGAAGCTGTCCCTCAAGCAGGTGAGATGGCAAAATTTTCTTACGAAATTTGACTTTCAGATGGAGTACAAGTCGGGGTGAGTGAACCTAGTGGCAGACGCCCTGAGAAGAAAGGTTAACCTTGCTGCCATTAGCCAACTAGAGGGGTCACTGGTGCCGCGCATCAAGGAGGGACTTGCGCATGATCCTACAACCAAGGCTTTGATGGAGTACGCCCAGCAAGGTAAGACTAGGCGATTTTGGTTGCAGGATGGCTTGCTGTACACCAGGGGCAGTAGATTGTTTGTGCCGTAGCATGGGAAGCTCCGCAAGGAAGTTTTGCAAGAATGCCATGATTCAAGGTGGGCTGGACACCCCAGAGTGAGCCGTACCTTAGCGTTGATCGAAGACAAATACTACTGGCCACACATAAGGGACGATATAGAGGCCTATGTGAAGACTTATCTTGTGTGCCAACAGGACAAGGTGGAGCTCAAGAAACCAGACGGTCTCTTGAAGCCATTGCCAGTG